AAGCAGGACATGCCAGGGAAAGGTTTGGGCTGCAACAGAGGATGTGATGCTGGAGGGAGGGTTTGGCAGGGTCCCGAGTTTGGGCAGCTGCCTTGGCCACCCGCCATGCGTGCAGCGAGGGCAGGGTGCCACGCATTGGAGGGCAGTGCTGGGGCTGGTAATAGCTGCCTGCTTGCGTTTGCCTCCACACCCAGCCTGGCTTCACACGTCCAAGAGCTTTCAGTGGGGTCTTCACCTGGCAAGCGATGCTTCCCTATCTTCTCTGCACATGGGAACCCAAAGAACACAAGAGATTCCTCAATGCCCCTTGGTTTGATGATTGCTCTGCAATGTGAACCATGCATTGCTGCTGAAGCAGCCCCAAGGCAATCTGAGGATAAGGTCGGGGGGTTCCTGTGCTGCAGAGGCCAGGAAGAAGCTGCTTGTTTGCTTTCTTTACTGCTCACCTGTAGCCAAAGCACTGTTTTAATTTGAAGTTTGGCAGGGATTGAGCCCTTTTGTAAACTAAATTCGTTCTGTGTTTCTGGAGGAGTGAGGAAGGGAGAAGTGAGGCTGATTTGGGGCTGGAAATAGAGCGGTGGGGGATTCAGAGGGAGTGTTTCTGCCTGGTGCCTGTGCTGCTGCTTTGAGAAGCACTTCCCTGCTCACGGAGGGTGGGAAGTGTTGCTCCCGCAGCCCCCTGGGCTCCCAGCCGAAGGAGCAGCGCGGCGCTGCTGCCGCCAAACAGAGCGGAGTCAAGGCGAGGCCACAGCGGCTGCTCCGCTGTGTCAAAACAAAGTGATGTGAGTTGGAGTCGCACTATTGCTGCCGAGAGAAAAGGGCTGGGAATGAGCAAAGGGAGAAAAGCGAGCGTGAGCGCAGAGCTGGAGCTCTGGCTGCCAGCGCTGGGGAGCGGTAATTTCTGACCCCCTTTTCCTGGACTTAGCTGTGTGTAATGTTTCAGCCCTTCCTGGGTGCGATTTGGCAGGGCAGCAGTTGTACACCTCCAGTGTTCCCCTTGCTGGGCAGGATAGCACCAGCCAAGATGGATGTTGTAGCCACAAGAGAGAGGGGTGAACACATAGGAGGACACTTGCTGCTTTCAGGGAAGCAAGCAGCATATGGTTGTTTCCCCACTGTGGAAAGGACCAGAGGGCAGACGGATACCCCTCTTGTACCAGGATGCACGGCTCAGTTGTTACGAGAGAGTGAGAGATAGTAGGTAGCTGAGCCCACCAGCCACCATCACCTGCTGCATCTCCTTTGTCCGCAGAGCCTGCAGGAAATGCGGAGCAGGATGGCAGGAGTGCGCTCTGCTGTGTGCCAGGGAGGCTGTGGGCAGGCAACAGAAAGGGCTGGAAAATACTGCAAGTTTAGTGTATCATTTGGGGAAGGAACCTTCTGTTGAGAGGCTCATTTTGCTCACCTATGAAGACTGAGAGGCACCATCTGCAAATGCATGTAGATGTAGAGTGATGCATGGTAACGAACATTTGTCCCGCAATGGAGGGACCCGGCAGGATGCAGTGCTCAGTGCCCTGATTGAAACCAGATGAAGTCAGTTCAGGAAGAAAACAGCATTTTTTTCTTGATGGTGGTCATTTGCCTTGGAGGAATTCATCTATGTTCGGACTGGATGTCCTCTCCAAAACAATAGCTCTTGGCTTGCTGCAAAGGTCTCTGCCTGAGGCAGTGTGCATTGCTGGTAAGCCCCTGCAAGCAGGCTGGCACTGAGTGTGTGTGGTAGTGGGAAGTACATGCCAGTCCATATGATGCACTGACCTCAGCTTTGCAGCTGAGGGGCCTTGGGTAGATCTGAGAGAGCTTTCCTGCAAGAGGTGTGTGTGTATCTGTGGTGGGACACCAGAGAACCTTGCTCTTATTGTACTCTTGTGTACTCTGTGCCTCCCCTGCTGCCCTGGTAAGGCATATTAAGCTACATGTCACCTCTTTCCAGTAATCCCCTCCCTGACCCGATCCCTCCCACCCCTGCTGCTATTTTAAACCAGATGTACATTGAAGTTCCTTAATCTCTGGAAATACTAATTTTCTCCTCTCCCTCTATGTGAGTTCATATGAATGTGGTACTTAAGTCGCTCCTTGTCTTTGATTAGAATCTTATCTTTCTTTTTTCAGGTCCCATAAATTAGCCTTTTAGCTGGCAGTGCTTTCAGATCCAACAGATAACAGCCTTTATCAGCATCTGGCCATTTCCAAAGGCATCGCTAACATCATCTTTGGGGCATGACTGGCTAGGTGCTCACAGCTATAATTCAGCACACACGCTTTGAAAAAGGCTTTTCACATTGTAGAAAGCATTCCTCATGTTTAAATACAGTTTCCCCTAATTTTCTTGCCTACCCTTCTCTATTATTTTATTTTTTTTTTTCATTTTAAAATGCAAAGAAAATTGCACCTGAAAGCTGCCCTTTAGGGAAGTGTCTCCCCACAGCACAAGGCACAGCATGTTTCTCCCATTCTGTCCAGCAGCTTGTGGGGCTTTTCTGGGGACCACTTTCCAAAGGGGCACTCTTCCATGGCCTGCTCCACTTGTGACAATATTGCTGAGACTTGTCACAAAGGAGCGCAATTGATGACAAATAGCAGGCTAGTCTTTGTGAGAGAAATCATCTCCACTAGGAACTGCAATGAGACCACCAGCTTCAATTCCCACAGACAGCCACAGGCAGAGCTGATTTGTTAATGACTTTAGAAACCCAAGGATGGAAAAAGAAACATTGAGTCCTATTTTTCCAAAGCCAGGGTAGAGCCCTGCGTGACAACAGACGATCTGATGGCAGTGAAATGGCATGCAGAGAACAGAAGAATGAGGGCCTACCACAGGCCTGAGGAGGAAGGAGAATGGGTGAGGAACAAGGTATCTTTTGAGCAAGACTTGGAGTCATGTTAGCATAGGGAATTGAGAAAATTGCTAGAAAAGTAAATAGATTTTGGGCTTGGCTTTTTGTATAAATGTTCTCTCTTTTCAAGTTTTCCCAGTGCTCCTTCCTTTCAGGCTGGAAGAACTGGTGTTCTTTTGAAAGTGTTGATTAACCAATACTTTCTTTTTTTCTGGCTTTTCCCTCAAGGCTACCCTGGGAAATAAAAGAGCACCAAATCGCTAGCTTGTTCTCACACAGTTTTAGAGGAGCTACAATATGGAAAGGCAAAAGGCTTCAACAGTCTTTTCCCACACATGGGCTCCTTGAGCAAACCATGGTCCAGTTTTGACCTTTGCTTGTGTTCGAGCAACCTGCAGTTTCCACAGCGTTGTGCGGGTGACACGGCTGGCAAATGTCATGGCTTGTCTTCTGATGGAGGACTAGCAGAGCAGACGTCTCCGCGTGTGAACTGCTTTGCAAGTTATTTTTCCACATGTTCAGCTCTAAATGTTTGCAAGGGGCCCTCAGGCAGTTCTCCCAGCCCTAAGATGTTGCCATCTGGGCCTGTCAGTTCTGGAAGTGTTGAGAAATCATGTGAACTCGCTGCTAAAGTGAGGATTTACAGAAAATGGTGTGCACCTATGTTTCTTCAACAACCTACCCGCTGAATTACCTGGCTCACTAGACACAGACCTCATCCTCAGGAGGCCCAAGTGTTCTTCCTGTTGCCAGGCTCACTTGAAAATTCAAAGAAATCCCTTAATCCTTTGAGTGCAGAAGGCAGAAGGGAACTCTACCCAAGGAATGGGTATTTGGGAAAGTATCATGAGTACCAGCACAGAGGATCATTGCACTCAGATATAAGGTGGTGCTGGGGCAGCATGGCATTCAGCAGAGCCCCCTGCTGTGGAAGTGAACCTTGAAAAGTCTCTGGTGGGGAACTGCCTCCTACCATTGCCTGGGATAGCAAAAATACATGATTTGACAATTCAGGAGGGCTTTTCAAGTGCTAAATCTCTGTGAAAATATGCACAAATATTCTTTTATAGGGTTTTGAGTGGTTTCTTCACACGTGGCTTTTTAGGCACAAGCTACATTCTTTGGGTTTTGTTGTTTATAAGCAAACTCTTTAAACGCTTCTTGCTATTTTCACACAAGATGTGAAGTACCCTTGGTTTTTAACCATAACTATTTCAAGAGTGTGACTTCTAGCATTTTCTAGCAGTCCCTCATTTTCTGCATTCCTGATCATTTCAAGGTGCCTTCTCAGTTGAGCACCCCAAGCTACTGTCAGCTTTGAAAAATCTAAGCAGATAGAAACGAAAGGGCATTTTTCTTTTGGAAAACTGAAAAAAGAGCCATGGTAACTATACATAGAGGTAATGCTAGGAAGGCTGCACAGGAAAATAACTTCTGCTCTGGGATTACAGCGTATGCATTTGGTCACTATTGCTTGATCTGTGCTGAACAATAAAGAGAAATGTCACCACTAAAAGGAATTTGGATCAGAGGAGTGTTAACATAAATGTCTAGATATGGACACCCATTTGCTGCTCTCCCCATTTCAACCAGCATTAAAACATATAATGATGAAACATGACTTCCTCAAATTACTCAAATTTCAGATAAATTTGAGTACCCAAAGAGAAAGTGGGTCATTGAAGCTCTGTGTCCAGTAAGATGTATGGGAAAACATGAAAAGTAGAGTGTCCTAAATGGATCTAGCATTAGTGGCAAGTAATGACAGGCACTAAGATCCTATTCAGAGTTGTAAGGATAATACCCATGAGCATGTTAATAGTGAATTATGGCCATTATGCAGGCACCAATGACAATATTTTAGTGCTATTCAAGTTATCTGGTTTCTTTGCTTTTCACTCACTCTCATTTCTTCTTAAAAGCTGGTCATTTGGTGGTAATGAAATGTGATGTAGTGGGAAGATGCTGTTCTCTCAAGTCTGAAAGAGTCTTCATTGACTTTAGTCGAAGGAAGAGTTCTTCCTCCTTCCATGAGGAAGAGCCTTGCCTTTGTTTAACTATTGTTTTCTTCCAACCAGTCTTGCAGTCCAGTGACCAGTGACAATAATGCCCCCAAAAATCCACTTTAAACAAATGGTGCTTCCCATTTTGTTGTTCTAGTAAACTTCCCAAGAATGGAGGATGACTTTCCGATCTCTGAGCAAGACTTTGAAGACAACGATGATTCAGGTTGGTACCCAAATGCCACACTGGCAATTTATCTGGGGAAACTTGTGTTTCACGATGAGATGCTACAATTAATTACTCACAACCTTCAGCTTTAGTGGGAGCTATAAGCTAGAACATGCTTGAAAAAATACACTGATGTGGTGACTTAGTGTCTGGACAAAGACATTAGGTTCTTTTCTTGTTTTCCTTTTTCAACAGCCAGCCAGCAACCTTTAAAAGTCAATATATTGTATTTGTGTTAGGACAAGTGGAACTGATCTTTCAAGCATTAATTGCTGCTTGCATGGCATTTTGACTTGTAAATGGAGAAAATTAAGCCTGGGTGCTGTGACAGATTGTTTCCATAGTTCTGAACCCAATGGCACTTGAAAGGCCAGAGTTTTGGTGGGTGTAAAATGCTAGCATGCTATTTAGATAGCCTGAGATGTAAAAGGGAATTAGGGCACCTCACTTTCTTGGTAGTTCAGTGCTTCACATTACTTCTAGACCTGGGTTAGTGAATCCTGTGGAAAGATACCCATGGCAGGGCTTATACTCTTGTAAAGCCATCATAACTCACGTGAGAAATGAATAAAGGTGATGGGGAAAAAGCGATCCCTGGATAATAAGAAGTGCCCATTCCACTGCAGATTACTTTGGATCGGATAGGAACGACACACTGTTCTCTACTAACTCTCCAGGAACCCCAAAGCTGGACAAAGAAAAAAGCTGGCTGTACACCCTGGATCCCATCCTGGTGACCATCATAGCAATGAGCTCCCTTGGCGTCCTCCTCGGGGCCATCTGCGCTGGTCTGCTTCTCTACTGCACGTGCTCGTATGCCGGGCTGTCCTCGCGGAGCTCCACCACGCTGGAGAACTACAACTTCGAGCTGTACGATGGCATCAAGCACAAAGTCAAGATGAACCACCAGAAGTGCTGTTCGGAGGCCTGATGGGTGTCCTGGGAATCACCCTCAGCATTGTGCCCGGTGAGGTGGGCTGGCAGGGGGGTACTTTATTTGCTGTTTTCCATGGGAACTGAATGCCATAATGGGGAATGAGAAGTGCGGGAGGAGTGAGGGGAGGCGCTGCTCCTGCCACCAGGTCCCACTGGTGGGTCACGCTCCGCCAGGACCAAGCGGGTTTTTCCGCAACCTGGACTGTGCTGGGCGAGGGGGAACCGAGACCCTTGTTTATTGGTTCATCTTCATTTTCTGCTGATGCGAGTGGCTGGGTTGTGGCAAAGGAGACTGGTTTACCTTTTGGATGTTAAAACTAAATGTTGATTGTTATTTTCCACCTCCTTTCTCTGGTGAGTTGCTGAGAAGGCTGAGGGATTTCTTTAGAAATAACACACACACACGGAGACCCTGTCCATTTTAGATCCCATCCAGATATCGTTTTGGCTGTAGGGATTTGTGCATTTCACACTAAGTCCAGAAAGCTGCAGTTTCCAGTCCTGAAAATGGAAGCGTGCTGTTACCTCCAACCTTCCTTCTCCTGGTAGGGTGGAAAGGTGTGATACTGGCTTTAGTGTCAGTGGTAGCAACAGTGCTTCCCAAAATCATTAAGAAACAAAATAGAAAGGAAACCCTATGTGTAGAAGCACCTCTTTGAGAGAAGCTGAAGAGCCTTAAAGCGATTTGCGAATAAGAGCCGTTTATTAAATCCAGATCTTGGACTGCAACAGCTGAGGCCTTCATCAGGAAGGCCTTTCTTTGAATCTCCCACCCATCTCAATCCTGCCCTTCTTCTTTTTGCTATAATGCAAAAGTTGCAGCAAACAAAAAGTAAAGCCTGTCAGGCTGCCGGCGCTCAGGCAATGGCTTTGGGAAGGGGGCTTCACTCTTGGTTTGACTTGGGGCATGGTGCTGAGGCCTCTCCAAAGTGCCAGGGAGGGAAAATGAACAGGGGAGGAGGCTGGAGCCGTGGCCATGTCCCTGGGAACCCACTCATGGCACCCACCACCCTGCCCTTCACTGGCCCTCTCTCTTTCACAGTGCTCCCCTTCTTTATGGAGCTGGGGAGCACAAGCTGGCACTGTCGGCACTGGTGGACCAAACGGCTGCCGCCGTATCCCTTCGGAGCAAAGCTGCGCTGTTCCCGATCAGTAGCAAAAACCTGAAGTTTTATTTATGATGAGCTGTGTTTTGTTTTACTTTGAACAAGTGCCTTAGAAGAAGTATTTTTCCTCCATCTGATGATCAGTGCTGTATCAAACAACAAGTGAGGCCTTCATCCTTCCCTGGCAAAACACTCTTCAACACTCTCTACCTTGTAGAGCCTGGGAGAAGTCTGGTCCTTCTGCTTTCAAGTGGTCTGGCTACATTGTCTGGCAGCTGATACCTCTCCACTTACCACTGTGCCGTGGGAGAGGAGTGTTATGAAAACAATTTAATGGAGAAACAAGAATTCAAGTGCTGGGCCCCAAACCAATGCCTTCTTTTCCAATTCGGCACAGATTGATTGTCCCTATCAGCTTGCACATATATAAGCAGGAAAGCTTCCCAACACGTTGTGCTTGCTTTTCCAGAGCACTTTGGAAATACCTGACGTGTCCTGATTTTACATTTTGCCTAGCAAATAGTTTGGGGATGGATTTTTTTCGCCTCACTAACCACAGAACGCCAAAGGTGTGATGTGCTGTGAAGCTCAGTTGGCACAGCGCCTGCAAACACATCCTGCAGGAGGCCAGGTGTTTGGGGAGATGAGGAGATGAGCACGGACAGTGCCACAGCTGCTCCTCAGTGTGGTGGGAACGGGAACATTTATCTAGTGTTTCATGGAAAGCTCCATCTGACAGTAAGGTTGGGGGGGGGGAAGGGGAAGACTTCTCCACTATGAGAAAGATGTCTGGGTTACTGGGGAAGCTGATACCAGCAGCTGTGTCATCAAGACATCCACAGTTCATACACAGACATGCAGGGACGGGCAGACACAAAGGCCTTCACTTTTTTAATTTACACTGTGTGCCCAACAGAAACAGCAGTAAATGTATCTCAGATTCTCCTTTCCAGTCACTGTATTTCTTTTGGCGTTCTTCGTGGACAAATTCCACAGGGGTGTTATTTTACCACACAGAAGAAACAGGCAGTAAGAGGGAATGTACCAGACCATTTCAAAGCTGGATTGCTGCTGCTGAATGATTTTTATCCCCTTCAAATCGCAGGAGAGGGGAAGGATGAATGGAAAAAGACCATACAGTAGAAAAGTTGACTTAGGCAAACAATAGGTGAAAATATATAAATTAAAAAGGTGACGTTATGGTGTCTAGTAGGCGTACAGAGAAAAGAGTTCATGTATACATATATTCAGAAATAGTGTGTTTGCACACGCACGTGAATTCTCTGTATCGTGTATGTGACTTATTCCGTGGGACTGACTCGTGTTAATATATCTCTTGATCTGGGGCAGGAGAGTACTGCTGATCTTGGCACTAACTTGGGCCCAGCAAAGCGCCTGCCCCGTGCGTCCTGCTTGCCCCTTCCCGACGGGGCAGGACCCACGTGCGTGCGCTTGCCAGGCAGGAGCAGGCCGATAATGCTGCAAAGCCGATACCTCACTTACCTCTGCTGGGTGCTTTACTGTTCTACAGAAAACTGTGTTTGATTGTAACTTCAACAGGGGAAAGAAAAGTCGTCAGTGCATTTGATTCATTGCATCCTCCTCTGCAAATAGATTAGGATTTCCGATCACAATTCCCTCTGTGAAATTCAGAAAAGAGAGAAAAAATTGGTGTTAATGCCTTCACTGAAATGAGCTGTTGCCTCCATGCTCTTCCCGTGGTGAGGACGTGTTGCTAACGGGCGGGATGTAGTGCCGGATGATTTCATTCTGTGGGAAGGTGCCGGGGCTGAGCATGGGAATTAAAGCATTAAGAAATTATATGCAGAAATGGAACTTCTCCAAGGTTTGCAGTTCAAGGTGTTTGACCATTCACTGGCTGAGCCAGGACTTACGGACTTAAAAGAGCTTTTACTGTGATTCTTCGGTGTAAAAAAAAATACAAACAAAAAAAAGAAAAAAAAAAGAAAAAATCAAACTGTGTTTATATGATTTGTATAAAAACCTTTTAAAATTACTATTTAATAAACATTATGGTAGAGATTATGTTCCAGTGAGGTTTTTATTTATGGAAGAGCAGCAACAAGGAAACCGAACTGAGAGGGCTATGGGCAGCCAGAAACGTCAGGGAAACGGGCACAGCTAGAGGTGTGCAGGGCCATCCCCCCTGCACTGCCCGTCCCTCCAGGTGACCCCGAGGTGACATGAGGCTTTAACAGAGCCCCTGTGCACACATGCATCATCTCCCTCAGACACAGCCTCTCCTCCCAGAGCCAGGCACTGCTGGAAGCTGCTCTGTCCCAAGAGAAGCACCTGAGTGCAAACCCAAAAGTGAATCCAATCCCTTCCTGCCACTCTGCACCACTGCTGCTGGTGACCCTGGAGAGGAGTGCTCTTTTTAGCTAACAAAAACATCATTTAGGACTAAAACAGCTCAGTGCTGAGCAGGAAGGTGCAGTCAAGGCATTGCAACCACAGAGCTCAGTAATGGTGAGCCACGGGGATGAGGGTCTGGGGGGAAACAATGACTGCATGCAATGCAGGGGATGACACAGGTACTAAGCAAGGAGCAGCCTGCCCTCTCTGCCTCCTTCCAGCCACCCTCGGGGGTACACAGGGGTCCAGACTGTCCCAGCTCAGCCACCTCATTGTGGTGCAGGAGCTGGGTGCCAGCTTAACCCTGTCCTGATCCCACAGCCCTGTGACGGAGGGCAGTGACCGGGATGACGTGGTCCCCTCTGGTTTTGCTTCAGCCCATCTTTGGGGGTCACAAGAGCATCTGGCAGTGAGGACTCCCAGCAAACCCCAAAGCCAAGCCTGATCCCATGCACTTGTCTTTTCCACCTTCTCTATGCTCTGTCCTATCACCCTGATGATGGCCGTGGCCCAAGGGAACCATTGCATCTCAAGTGGTCCCAGCTCCCTGCAGTGTCCCTGCACTGGCTGTCCAGCAGCCAGCATGGGGCTGCAGGGAGCTGGCTATCGAAGCAGTGGGGCTGAGCCTGCATCATGAGAGCTCTTGTTTATTTATGGGCACCCTGACAGATGAGAGCCAATCCATCAAGCCCTGGGCGCCTTGAGAGCAAATGAGATTTTGCTGGCATCTCCTTACCCCCAGGTCTGTGGCCCCCTCTCAAAGCACACGTGTGTTAAAGAGGGTCTTTAAGCAATGAAGGGCAGCTAGCAGCTTAGATGAAGATGACAGTGTAGCTGCAACCTTGACAGCTCTTCCCTCACCCAGGAATAAAGAACTGATGTGCAGATTGATACTTGGGGGAGAGGCTGTCAGAGAGCAGGACAGAGACGTCAGATAAGCGACTCAATCAGTGTCAGACCTGTCCTGCCATAACACCGCCTGTAAATCACTGCGGTTAAAGAGGCGCCTCCTCTAAAGCGAAGAGCAGAAAGCAGGTAATAGAGAAATGGGGGGCAAAGCAGATATGTGCATTGCCTGGGTTAAAAGCCTGAGAGCTGGGCACAAAGAGAACGCAGGCACCCACATCAGGAAATTTAACTCTTTAGGGATTTCTTTTGTAGCATGAGCTGGGTGGGCTCATTTGGGTGGGCTGCTTTGCCACTGGCAGGCTGGAGTGGGGCCCACGGGTGCCTGTGTGCAATTGCCATGCAGTAGGGGCTATGGGAGTGTTGCATGTGGCACAAGAGTAATCAGGGAGTGAGTGGGCTAATGAAATCAATTTCACCATTCTCAAGCTGCTCCAAGATGGGGATCCAGCCGCTCCAGCACATCCTTGAGAGCTGATTGCAATCGTGCACATGCCCTCACTGTCTCTCCTGCCCCGTCTTCTTTGAAATACTCCTTTGCTTTCACGTTTAATGGGAAACCTTTTCAAATAATGGCTTGCTCCCTGGCCAGCTGGGGGCTTGGCAGGGAGGGGAGCCATGGGGCTGAGCTAATAACTGGATTCGTAATTAATTAATTGCAGCAGGTGCAAGTGGAGCTTCCCGTCGCCTCTGTCTCTGAAGAGCTCCTCTGTCTCCCGGAGCCTGGTGTTGCCACCAACCTTCCAAGGGGACTGAGCAAAACCTGGTGCTGGCTTTACCATGGACACTGACTTGGGCAGACACAGAGGCTGGTGCTCTCATCTGCTCCCCATGGAGACCAGCCTCCTTGCAGCACGTTGCTTTCACATATCCACATCTGCAAGGCTTCCTATGCTCAGACTATGATGATTAGAATCTATAAAGGCTCTTTCTCCCCATGGGGCTCCCTACTGCTTCTCCCCGGGGAGGTTCACTGTACCTGCACTGAAATCATTCACACCCCACCAGATGAGCCAGACCCACCTAGACATGAGAGGTGTTGATGAATCCCCAAGCCCTGACTCCTGGTGAGCTGAGCATCAGGGGTGCTGCTGAGCCAGTGCCACCACTGCTGTGTATATGCTGTGTCCTTTCAGCCCTGCTTTGGCTGCTCTGGTGGGTATTCAGTAGAGCCCTGTGGATGTAAATACAGAGGGTGACACCGAGCTTTGGTCCACATACATCCGTAGCAGAATTCTCATTGAATTCAATAGGTCCTTATTGCCACTTATCAGGTAGGATTAGGCTTTCGTGTCAATGCCTGTTACACACAGCAACCCATTTAAGGCTCACCGTGACTAAAGCAGTTTAATAGGAAAATAACTAATCCACAATGTGTTGAGAGGGAATGACGCCTTTCTAGGCTCCTGTATCGTAACTCAGCTGCACCACTAATATCCGAAATGAAACGCACTGAATTAAACACTCAGCAGCTCTACCCCCGCCTTGTCCCAGGTGCCAAAAATCAAGGGAAGAAATATAGCCCTGCTTCCTTGTGCTGCAGAGGCGGGTGTAGGGCTGCAATGAGCTGGCGTGGGCTGGCAGCTCGGGACTCTTTGTTGCAGAAGAGTCTGCTAACATGTCCTCAGTTAAATGTTTATACACACCAGAGGAAAGAGCTGCCCCAGGTGTTGCTGACGGCTTCCTCTCAGGTCCCTCCTGGCATGGTGCGGGGCTGCTTTGTCACCCTTCAGATCAGCCACCAATCTCATGCTAATAGCGGAGATGAGTGATTTCTGTACAAACGCTGTCAAAATGCATAGCACTGTTTTTGCTCTCCTGGTCTCTCGGGTTTATACAGACAGTAACACTGCACTGACTTCAAGCCCAGTGCTTCTTGCAGCCCTCCAAGAGGAGTACCCTTCAGCCAAGCCACAGGGCAGCTCTTCCAGCACCTCACCACTTCACTGATGGCTTGTGTTGGACAAACCAGAGGCAGCCCTGGGCTGCACTGCCCCTTGGGAAGCAATTCCCTGAGGTGTTCAGCTCCAACACAACGTGGAGCTCTTCCAGCAGCCTTCAGGGACAGCCGTTGCCAGTGCATTTCAACCTCGTATTTTAAGAAGACATTCAATGTGCTTACTAGAGCTGGGGAGCCCTTTACACTACAGCAATAATCCAGCGCTCGGCCATGAAACCCTCAGCAGTGTCACATCCATCCCTTACAGCAGAGAAGTTTTATTAACTTAGGGTGTGAAAAGTTTCAGAGAGCAAAGAAGTCTCTCTCCCTGTGAGAAAAATAAGGATGATTTAAGCAGTCTGGGTGTATTTGAGATGGAGAGCGAGTCCCCAGCTGACACATCAGAGGGAAAAACTGTGAGCCGAGGCTGCATTTATTAAAGCAGGAAGCTGGGGCTGTGCAGAGCCAACCTTTTTAAGCACTCCACGAGAGCATTTTAATAAAAAGCACAACAAGCCCACAACAAATCACGTCTTGGAAGCACAGAAAGTGTCAATTCCTGTCAAGGTTTGAGGAACTGTCTGAGCTTAAGGAAAAGCGAATTCCTTCTCCGCTCCCCTCCCCATCCCTCCGCTCCCATGCACAGAGCAAAGCCACCCCAAATGCCGCTTGTGACATGCCACAAATCACAGCGGGGAGCAGGGGGGAGCCACCGACCCAGCCACGGGAAGGCCCACAGAAGGATTGAAGCTCAAAGAAAATGGAATTTATAGTTGGAACATTAAAATATTAAAGGGCCTTACAGAACAGCCGTGAATCTGATCTGGGGGGGGAGTGTGGGGGTGTGGAAAAGGCGAGTCTGTCATCAGGCAGAGACAAATAGCTGCTGGACTTGACAACTCACATAAATCTGGCAGAGAAGAAGAAATAAAGCCCAATCAGACCCAAAAAGGAGGGGGGGAAGGGGAAAAAGGTGATGAAAAGATTTTACGGCATAAAGAGTGAAAAGGAGAGGGAAAGCCAAAGGAGATAAGGAGTTGAAAGCAGAAAGCGATTATAAAAATAGCAGCAGAAGTACAGATGGAGGTAAAGGAGAGAAATTATTAAAAATGGCCAGAAGTGCCCCAATGGCACAGGTATTTTTGACAATCTTGCCTGAGACCACTTGTGTTCCTTGCTCAGAAACAATTCACTGGGTGGGCTTCAACAACTCGGACCTTGCATGGACATCAGGAGGAGCAGCCCGTAGGATGCAGAGCATCAGCTTGAAACCACCCCAGCACAAGGACCCCCATACATAGTCAGGGGTACCAGAGTGAACCCCCTCCAATTCCAGAGGCAGAGCAGCACTTGCTGGGCAAAGCCACACAGGCTGCTCTCCATGAGCAGCACAACCTGCTCCTGAAGGTTGTGACTTCCCTCCCAAGATGTGACTCTGGGCTGACCCCAGAGTTTCCACGAGAGCTGTGGCTGGTTGCACAACATGGCCAGGCTTCAGAAGCTCTGTTGTGCAAGAACTCAGCAGGAAAGGCCTGCCCAGCCCCACACTATTCACCCCACATCACTGGGGGCCCCAGTGGCAGCCGTGCCCTGCTGAGACTGGGACAGCTCGGGGGCTGCCGCCACAATGTACCGGGAAGAGACTGAGGATCCAGCCGGGAGGCAGAGCCGAGACCCACCGTAAGTTGGGAAACGGTGCAGCGAGGGCTGGAGTTATGAACTGCTGTCTGTAAGCCAGCCCTCCCTCTGAAACACTAAACAAAAAACAACATTCAGATACATTTCGGAGGAAAATGCAAAGCATCTGGTTCCCTTCGCTGGTGTA